TTTACGTTTTGCGCGATCATGACATTATCCGCGCAATTTCCGCAGTCGCTTCCGTGCATGAGTATTTAATATATTCGCATAATTACGTATAAAAATATTTTCAATTTGTCAACTATCACCGAGGAAGAACTTTACTGTATTATTTGTTGTGTAGTAATTTCCAATTCAGATTCTCCTTCATAAAATATTCACAGCCCGTAATGATAAAAAGTGTTATGCGACCATAAAAACAGCAAGCTGTACGTTATCGCTTTACGCCATGGGTCTATCAGTTGGTGTGTGCCTTTATCAAGTAATAATTAACGTCACACACACATACACACGCGCACATGCCGTATAATTATATTTATTTAGCTCAAAAGCGGCCCGAGTTAAATTTTCTACAATATACAATATATATTGATTAGAATACAGCGGGAAAAATCTCATTCTTATTTGTTATTTAGAATATAAAAGAAAGACTGTTGTATTGTAAATCGAGTAATCGATATAAAGGCACTCGTCTAAAGAGCCTTCGATTAAATGTCGAATACATCCGTAATAACGGATCCTTCATTATCCGGCGCGTTTACCGTTTCAATCCATTTCCTCGATAACAAGTCCTTCTGGAAGACGAAATGATGAAGCTGATTTATTTCTTCGTGAACACAGTGAGTGATGGCCCTACGCCTGAGAGGTAGCAAGGATGTCAAGAAGAGCTTCTATTACGTCTGGTATCTTGGCGCGAGAGAGCCAAAGGAGTGGACGCGATGCCCGGTGCCATAGCTTACCTGCGAGCGGGGAACGACTTCAAGAACCTTTCAAGGTCACGCTACAGGTGAGTGGTACCATCCTCTAAAAATCCGTTTTGGCAGCGCGCGTCGAAAGTATCTTAAACGGAAACGAATTAAACGACGACGCGCAATCGGGATTCACGCCAACACATATCCTCTATTTATTTTTCTTATCTCTATTTATCTGGCACCTCTAGCAATAACAACATAATCGCCGGAGACCATAAAAATCACGACCTTATCTAAGATACGGGCTTAGATGATCCCTCGAAATGATCCTCCACGTTTTCTTTAATCGATCGCGACGAAACGACGACGTTGTAACCCGAATTAGTGACGCCTTTATGTATATTAGGAACGTGGGAATTTTCGATAATTATAAAGCTGAGGAAGGATGCATCAACTTCGATGAAAATCGCGTTCGCGATATATAACTTGCGCGGTGAAGAAACCATCTGTATAACGCGTTCCAATAATTTTACTTCAAAATGTATGTTTCTCGATTAATATTTATAAAAGAGAAGGTCTATTCTTGTTACAAAATACTACATTACTTACCATTACATATACCATATACTTTTATCTGTTTAAGACATTTTTTTCTGACAGTTACAATAGATGTACAATGAAATTGTTGTTTTCTGAAAGCCGCATGCAACTTAACGAATCTGTAACGTTACGTGTTCGCCAAGCGAATAAAAAATAATAATAAATTCACTGACCCGAATTTTATAGAAACGAGTTCAGTATATACTAACACGTTAACATTGGCGAATAGAGAAAAGAGAAAATAAACGCAGTGCCAAAACTGTTTCGTGACTGTTAAAAGGGTTAGCACGTGGCATGCGCTTCGATGCATATCAAGTGGCGTCTGGAAAAAAAATGATACGCTCGTTCGTTTAGAAATCGCATTTGCGTGATGCAATAAATCTCATTAAACGTCAGTCGAACTTAAACAGCAGTGCAAGGAAATGATTCAACGCTCGTTAATAACGGCGTCAAATGAAGCGAACGGGTTCGGTTCTTTGTAATGATTAACAAATTTTTTTTATAAGTAGCGTGCACCAGATGTGCCCGATCACATGCTGTTAAAATTATTATTATTATTATGCGCAAACGGTTCGCGACAGGGACATGGATGGTTGCTACAATTTAATTAAATCATTTCTAACTGTATTCGCGACAACCATTCCTGAAAATCATTTACTACATATTACATATATATATATATTTATTATAATATATATATATATATATGTATATATATATATATATTTATCAGATATGAAAAAACAACATTACATATAATTTTTATTTTTTTTTCCATTTCCTATTTTTCCTTAGCTTCTCTCCTCCACTTATTCGATGCACTCGCTATTCTGTCGAAATTGACACGCGCAAGGCACGTACGCACATCGCGTAGAAAAAGACACGTTACGAAATGAATTCATCTAATTATTGTGTAAGTGTAATTGCGCGAGGTATGGACGGAGTATCGGGAAAGTCTACGGGGTTGCCCCGTAGGTGGTAGATATCCATAACCGGTCTCGCGAGCGTTTCAGCAATTCGAATCGTCGCGATGATCGACGCGGCGCGGTAATTAAGTGTTTTCGCGAAGTGGAAACGTTGCTGTTCGGAGAGAGAGAGAGAGAGAATTACGCGGCCCGCATTACACACGCCTCTTCGCGTATATCTGCTCTCTCACGTGATTCTCTTTAAGTACAAGGACGAATCCTCGCGAATGCGGGATGCGAGATAAAGAACGAGGTAATCAAGAGGAATTAAAACTGTACGACGCGAGAGAACTTTGACTTTATTATTATAATTAACTGCCGCCTCTTATAGCTGGCAATGTTACTTTTTTTATATAGAAGATTTAGCAAACTTTATTTCGAAAAAAAGTCCTATATAATCCATTAATTTTTCAATGCATATCTTTATTATGTACCATGTGTCGCACGTTTAAATGTTGAAACGATTGTGCGGAATGTGCATCGCGAGATGCAAACAATGCCAGGGTTGCGCAAGCGACGTGAACGGCGATGCATTTATATTTGATAGGTGAGCAACAAAGGTCTGAAGATAATACAAACGGTTCATCCGGGTGGCTCGACGAGGTCGGCGGTGAAACACTTGGTACCAGGTCACGCGGTGCTGGCAGCCGTGCAGCGAGAAGACGTCGTAGCCGCGACTCTATTGCTGCCGAATCCTGCGACGAACAATCTTGTGCACGTGCACGCATACAGGTCAGAGAGCTGATTCCGCGAATTAATATGATTAATCAATAGTAAATAAGCGATAAATTATCTATTGAATCAAGCTAATCAATTTTCGAAAATTCATATTCCCGGAGACAACTTAATATCAATTAAACATACATTTTTTTGTACTAATAAATTTGTATTAATATTCTTTCGGTGTTATTTAAATGTACTTGTGAATTACTTATATTTATTGATTTGAAAAAAATGTAAATTTTATTAGAAATATATATATATATATATATATAATATATCAATATTATGTATATAATTTTTTATATAAATGTCAATATAATATATTTATATTTATAAATATATAAATGGAGAATGGGAATATGTCAGATGCAACCACGCTGTTTCAAGTCCGCGCGAGGAATTCGCGGTTAAATAGAGGTCATCCATTCGGTTCATCACCTCGATCTCACCCATTACGGACCGCGTTTCGCTCTTTAATTAATGACTTTCATAATTCTAAATAGATTCGCAAATGATTTTCAAAATTCCGCAAAGTTCGCATATCGGTCACATATATTCGTAACGAAGCAGCGAACGAATAGAGATGTATTCGGAGCATCTCTGTCATTAATTATGCAAATTATCGAGGCAAATTATTATCGGAGTAATTAGCACGCATTTGATATAATCGTTAGACTCTCGAAAGAGATTTCGAATTTTATTTGATACGCGTGGCTGCAAAAAGAGAAACGAAAGGCCGTTCTACTACGAAAGGATCACGACGATTGTTCAAATCGAAGTAACCGCAAAGGCGCGCGATCTCTCTGGTATGCTCAATGAAAGTCCCGTTAAAGAACATTTTGTAGTAGGTATAGAGAGCTCGGATGAATATATACAATTACACATATTCCGCGATGAATTTTGTGGTGTATACCGATGACCCGAATGAGAAGAAACGACCGGGCTTCTTTTCCCATTGGAAACGCCGATCGTGTTTATCACGAGCTTGCATCTAGCTATATAAATATAATGTTCATTTTCCACACGCAATTTCGCAAGAAGCAGAATAGAGATCTGATCCCACGTCTCATGCTCTCACACACGGAAGCTTTATATTCTCTAAATTAATACAATTGTCGCTCGTATATTGAAAACAAAGTGATAAATATAAGGCCAACTTATCGAGCTGAATATTCGAGATGTTCAGTCAACTACCATTTATTACATGTATAAATTATAAAACTACAGTCATTATATTAAAACTAACGCAAATTACAATCATTCTATAAACGTTTCGACCGCACGCGGTCTTCTTCAGTATAATTATTGAAATATAAATTCTTACAATTCACATAATATCGAAATTTAATTATAGTTATTCAGAATCAAGAGTTTTTGAGTAATTAACGCGTGTTTCAATCCGTCCTGTCCAACAATGTTCGCCTCGATATGATCCCTGATTTTGTTCAGATCTCGGATAGTTTCATCGTTAATATGCGAGAAATTAACCCGTTCCGTAGGCGCTGCGATTTATAAAAAATTACCGATCAACGCATGTCCAAATTATAATATGTATCCCCTACAATTGGTAGTATGCTTACCTATCATCGTTCTTCTTGATAATTTTGCTACTTATTAACAGTTATTAAGGATGACACATAACAAACCAACAATACAGAAAGACAGCTCATTTTAAACTCTACTTGATCGGAGAGCGTGCGTGTTTATATATGATCTAATATCTATGTTTTACTCGTTAATGTCCTATTTGTCCTATTATTATTTCTTGTTCGCTAATATATCCAAAATATCAAAATACGACTCGCTAAGTAACTCAGTATCTTTGTTTAAATTTAGTCCATTTTTTTGTTCCTTGATATGTAGCATCTCAGAAATGAGTCTTTTATAATAATTATTTTCGTTGTCCATGATCTTAACATTGTCCCAATTAAAAGTATGATGTTCATTTATTATGTGTTCAGAAATTACTGAATGTTTCGTTGAGTCCAACCTAATATTATTTTTATGTTCTTTTATTCGCGTCTGCAATTGCCTCTTTGTTTGGCCTACATAAGATGCATTACAATTATTGCAACTGATCTTATAAACCACATTCGAATTGCATGGATGTTTAGTTTTATCTTTCTGCGCTTTAATAATATTATCCAGTTTGTTGAGACATCTATACCCTACCATACAATTTTTATTTTTTACCGAGGAAACAATCATTTCTGAGATCCCATCTATATACGGAATGACAAAGAATTTTTTATTGACCGAGTCATTTCTTATACTTTTTGTTCTTTCTATGTTGGCCTGTCTCTCTATAATGCTCCCCTTAGATATGATGTGTTCTATCCGATGATTAATTTTGTTAAAAATCAGATCAAGAGGGTAACCATTGCTTCTGAGTATATTAATAATTAACTCCAAATTTTTATTAAAAAATAGTGGATGTGATAGCAATAGACATCTGTCTACAAGGTTATATATTATTCCTATTTTGTGGCATAGTGGGTGGTTTGAATAAAATGATAACGTCCTTCCTGAGAAGGTTTCTTTTTGATACCAGTCTATATATATTTTGTTATTAATAATTTTAAGTGATAAATCTAAGAAATTCAAGCTATGGTTAACCTCTTGTTCGACCGTGAATTTAAGTCTTTCATGATAGTTGTTAAAATTATTCACAATCTGAGTCATATTAGTCATAGAGGTGGCCACTATTATGTCATCCACATAACGAAAATAAAACAAACATTCCAAATTCAACGCTTTGAGAACTGTATCCTCAAGATCTTGCATAACCAGGTCTGCAATAATTGGTGATAACGGTGACCCCATAGGGGTCCCAAACGTCTGTTTATAAATTATGTCATCAAATGTAAAATATGTAGAAGTCAATATGAATTTTATACCCCCCAAAAATTCGTTTTTCGGTATTTTAGTATTTATTCCAATGTGATCCCATCTATCGTTAATACCGTCAATCGCAAGATCCAGAGGAACGTTCGTAAACAAAGACACCACATCCAAGGAAAACATCCTATCATTCTCATCAATCTTTTTACCAGACAATATGCTGTACAAATCAAAACTATTATTAATATGACTTTTCGCTTTGGGTAGACTAGTTCGTAAGGTGTTTTGTAAAAACGAAGCCAGCGAGTATAGAGCTGTATCAACCGATGAAACTATGATTCTAACTGGATAGTTTTCCTTATGGATTTTCGGTAATCCATACGCTTTTGGAAGGAGAGAATCACTACAACGTAATTTATAATATTCGTTTTTTGAAATATAATCTTCCTTAAGCCATCTCTTCAACAAATCATTCAAATCGTTCTCTATTTTTTTGCACGGATTTTTTTTAACAATAGTGTAAGTGTTGACATCTTTTAAAACGTTTTCCATTTTGTTAATATAATGAGATCTTTCCATTGCCACCGTAGCATTACCCTTGTCCGCGCGTGTGAATAGAACATTCGGATTGTCTTTACAAAATTTTATTAAATCTCTGTGTGCACCAAGTAATTTTTGTTGACTTACGTCATTTTTATCCTTCGTGTTCAGAAGTTGTGCAAATTTTGGAACCGCGATATTTCTGATTGTTGTGAGATTATTAATATTATTTCGTTTGCTATTACTCTCTATGTCCTTGATGAATTCATGTATCGCTGTTTTTTTACTAATATTCGGAAGACAGAATTTATCACCCATTTGCAACAGATTAGAAACGTTAGGCGGAATGTCTGTGTTGGAAAGATTAACAAACCATTTTTTATTAGTATTTTCCAAAGGGTTAATTGTATCATTGAGAAATTTATTGGCTTCTATGTGTATATTGATCTCCTTGGCATCATTAGTGATTGCCCTGAGAGAATTTTGTGATATTTTCGTCGGTTGTGAAGTTTCAAAATGTAAAGAACAATGTATATCTATAGGTTTGATGCTGTTGATATACTTATAGTGTTGTTTTCTCTTAAGCCAATTGAATTTCTTTTCGTGTGCAGTAACCAATCTGTTGTGGCAATTTTTAAAAGCAATGTTATGATGTTCGAAAATTCTATTCCACGCGAGTACAGGTAAACGATTAAATAACCCGCTGGTGAGATGAAAAATCCTATTTTGTAATGACTCTACCTGTCTATGCAAATCAAAGATTTCAATGCTCATCGCATTTGTTTTGAATTTGTACAACATACTATCTAGTCTTCTGATCGATCTGTGATGAAAAACGTTAAATTTAATGCGGCAAAAACCTTCTAAATGTGTAGGAAAAATATCGCCATTTTTACAATTTCTTAAAAATTCCAATTTTGCTCTCGCTCTTATTAACAAGTAATTCGCATTAATCCATTGTTTAAAATAATCTGCGGTTATTCTTCCAAAAACTCTATGAATAAAATTAAAATTAAAATAGTAATCAGTCCGTTTTGTGTTAAATTGACGCATTGTAAGGCCAGCGTATATTAAAAATAAATTAATACAATTGTCGCTCGTATATTGAAAACAAAGTGATAAATATAAGGCCAACTTATCGAGCTGAATATTCGAGATGTTCAGTCAACTACCATTTATTACATGTATAAATTATAAAACTACAGTCATTATATTAAAACTAACGCAAATTACAATCATTCTATAAACGTTTCGACCGCACGCGGTCTTCTTCAGTATAATTATTGAAATATAAATTCTTACAATTCACATAATATCGAAATTTAATTATAGTTATTCAGAATCAAGAGTTTTTGAGTAATTAACGCGTGTTTCAATCCGTCCTGTCCAACAATGTTCGCCTCGATATGATCCCTGATTTTGTTCAGATCTCGGATAGTTTCATCGTTAATATGCGAGAAATTAACCCGTTCCGTAGGCGCTGCGATTTATAAAAAATTACCGATCAACGCATGTCCAAATTATAATATGTATCCCCTACAATTGGTAGTATGCTTACCTATCATCGTTCTTCTTGATAATTTTGCTACTTATTAACAGTTATTAAGGATGACACATAACAAACCAACAATACAGAAAGACAGCTCATTTTAAACTCTACTTGATCGGAGAGCGTGCAACACAGACATTCCGCCTAACGTTTCTAATCTGTTGCAAATGGGTGATAAATTCTGTCTTCCGAATATTAGTAAAAAAACAGCGATACATGAATTCATCAAGGACATAGAGAGTAATAGCAAACGAAATAATATTAATAATCTCACAACAATCAGAAATATCGCGGTTCCAAAATTTGCACAACTTCTGAACACGAAGGATAAAAATGACGTAAGTCAACAAAAATTACTTGGTGCACACAGAGATTTAATAAAATTTTGTAAAGACAATCCGAATGTTCTATTCACACGCGCGGACAAGGGTAATGCTACGGTGGCAATGGAAAGATCTCATTATATTAACAAAATGGAAAACGTTTTAAAAGATGTCAACACTTACACTATTGTTAAAAAAAATCCGTGCAAAAAAATAGAGAACGATTTGAATGATTTGTTGAAGAGATGGCTTAAGGAAGATTATATTTCAAAAAACGAATATTATAAATTACGTTGTAGTGATTCTCTCCTTCCAAAAGCGTATGGATTACCGAAAATCCATAAGGAAAACTATCCAGTTAGAATCATAGTTTCATCGGTTGATACAGCTCTATACTCGCTGGCTTCGTTTTTACAAAACACCTTACGAACTAGTCTACCCAAAGCGAAAAGTCATATTAATAATAGTTTTGATTTGTACAGCATATTGTCTGGTAAAAAGATTGATGAGAATGATAGGATGTTTTCCTTGGATGTGGTGTCTTTGTTTACGAACGTTCCTCTGGATCTTGCGATTGACGGTATTAACGATAGATGGGATCACATTGGAATAAATACTAAAATACCGAAAAACGAATTTTTGGGGGGTATAAAATTCATATTGACTTCTACATATTTTACATTTGATGACATAATTTATAAACAGACGTTTGGGACCCCTATGGGGTCACCGTTATCACCAATTATTGCAGACCTGGTTATGCAAGATCTTGAGGATACAGTTCTCAAAGCGTTGAATTTGGAATGTTTGTTTTATTTTCGTTATGTGGATGACATAATAGTGGCCACCTCTATGACTAATATGACTCAGATTGTGAATAATTTTAACAACTATCATGAAAGACTTAAATTCACGGTCGAACAAGAGGTTAACCATAGCTTGAATTTCTTAGATTTATCACTTAAAATTATTAATAACAAAATATATATAGACTGGTATCAAAAAGAAACCTTCTCAGGAAGGACGTTATCATTTTATTCAAACCACCCACTATGCCACAAAATAGGAATAATATATAACCTTGTAGACAGATGTCTATTGCTATCACATCCACTATTTTTTAATAAAAATTTGGAGTTAATTATTAATATACTCAGAAGCAATGGTTACCCTCTTGATCTGATTTTTAACAAAATTAATCATCGGATAGAACACATCATATCTAAGGGGAGCATTATAGAGAGACAGGCCAACATAGAAAGAACAAAAAGTATAAGAAATGACTCGGTCAATAAAAAATTCTTTGTCATTCCGTATATAGATGGGATCTCAGAAATGATTGTTTCCTCGGTAAAAAATAAAAATTGTATGGTAGGGTATAGATGTCTCAACAAACTGGACAATATTATTAAAGCGCAGAAAGATAAAACTAAACATCCATGCAATTCGAATGTGGTTTATAAGATCAGTTGCAATAATTGTAATGCATCTTATGTAGGCCAAACAAAGAGGCAATTGCAGACGCGAATAAAAGAACATAAAAATAATATTAGGTTGGACTCAACGAAACATTCAGTAATTTCTGAACACATAATAAATGAACATCATACTTTTAATTGGGACAATGTTAAGATCATGGACAACGAAAATAATTATTATAAAAGACTCATTTCTGAGATGCTACATATCAAGGAACAAAAAAATGGACTAAATTTAAACAAAGATACTGAGTTACTTAGCGAGTCGTATTTTGATATTTTGGATATATTAGCGAACAAGAAATAATAATAGGACAAATAGGACATTAACGAGTAAAACATAGATATTAGATCATATATAAACACGCACGCTCTCCGATCAAGTAGAGTTTAAAATGAGCTGTCTTTCTGTATTGTTGGTTTGTTATGTGTCATCCTTAATAACTGTTAATAAGTAGCAAAATTATCAAGAAGAACGATGATAGGTAAGCATACTACCAATTGTAGGGGATACATATTATAATTTGGACATGCGTTGATCGGTAATTTTTTATAAATCGCAGCGCCTACGGAACGGGTTAATTTCTCGCATATTAACGATGAAACTATCCGAGATCTGAACAAAATCAGGGATCATATCGAGGCGAACATTGTTGGACAGGACGGATTGAAACACGCGTTAATTACTCAAAAACTCTTGATTCTGAATAACTATAATTAAATTTCGATATTATGTGAATTGTAAGAATTTATATTTCAATAATTATACTGAAGAAGACCGCGTGCGGTCGAAACGTTTATAGAATGATTGTAATTTGCGTTAGTTTTAATATAATGACTGTAGTTTTATAATTTATACATGTAATAAATGGTAGTTGACTGAACATCTCGAATATTCAGCTCGATAAGTTGGCCTTATATTTATCACTTTGTTTTATATTCTCTGTTTATCTTTAATAAATTATTTTGAGACACCCGGTAGAGTTTTTCACGCTATGCTGCGTAAAGAGTACAAGTAAAATCACAATCGGGAACATCAGTGTATAAAGACAATAGAAATCGAGATCATTTTTCCAAGATTTTATTTTCCATCGTTTTGAGAAATCAAAAAGACAGGACTTGTCCTTATCTTTCGCCTCGCTTTCCTTACTTATTTTAGATGCGACTCGGTCGAGACCGCCGAATTGTTGGGTGGCCAGTTGAAAGCGTTGGCGTCACACACCGACAATTTGGCCAGGGTCACGGCGAGCGAAGGCAGAATCCGCAGCAATCTAGGCAGCGACGGCCGAAGTACCAGAGAGTCCGAGTCTTCCGAAGGCAGCGGTGAGCTCAGACACGATCCGGTTCAAACCACGACCATTTACGAGTCTCTGGCCGCCGAGCTGCGGGCGAAATTAGGTGAATGCCTCCTTTAAGTCTCGCTTAACATTTCGCTGTACAAGATTCTACATGTATGTCAACGCGCACAAGTTAAATATTCGGAAAAGTATTACGTATACGCATATTATGAAATACGTGTAAAATGTCGCATAGCAACAAATATATCTTTTAATCAATAAAATAATAGAGAACAAATTTGGTACATAATATAAAGCTGAAAAATTGTATATTTATTCTCTTTCATTAATATTCATATCAAACTCGGCACTCTCGCAATCCATGATTTTAATACGCGCGAGAGAACGAACGCTAGAGCATCCGCGCGCGTTCGAATACATGTCAAGGCAACGTGGATACCAGCGGATACAATCGTGTTTCAGGCAGAGGTAATTCCGACGACAATGACGTCGGCCCGATATTATTGCCTCCGCGCGACTACGACACCGTGCACAGACACCGCGGCAACTTGGCCGGCATCGAGTTTAGACGTTGCTTGAATCAGACCATCGTGGGGGGTAGCACGGCCATCGATAGGGGTGGCACGAGAAGCGCAGCCAGCAGTGGCATAGGATCCGATAGCGCGGCAACCCCACCGCCTTATCAGACGCATCATCCCCTCGGCCAGAGACCGTCCAGACCGTCCAGAGATTCCTCTTCCGGTGAGTGATTTTTTTCTCGTATATCTGGGTCCTTCAAATATTTTATTTATTCATTTTTTTAATAATACATTCTAATTTTTGGGTACTCTCAAATTATCTTTTGATATTCTCAATCCTTTTTTTTTTATCAAAATTGAATTCTTTATTCTAAATATAATTGATTCAAGTGCCTATCATCTTGTTTGCAAGTTTCAAATTTATATGTCTGGGTTCTTGAAATATTTTATTTATTTTTTTTAATAATACATTCTAATTTTTAGGCACTCTCAAATTTTTTGTGATGCTCTGAATTCTTTTTTTTTGATAAAAATTAAATTGTTTATTCTAAATATAATTGATTCAAGTACCTATCACCTTGTTCGCAAGTTTCAAATTTCTATGTGGTGAGTTTTTAATTTTATATAATTATTTTAACAATTAAAACTCTCGCAATATACCAGAGATGTCTCTCCGACAAGCTAGAATTTCTATTGTTGCTACTGAGAGAGATACATGTATGTATGGAATTAGCAAGTAGGTTATTGCAATGTAAAGTATGAGAGCATTCTCGCATCTCCGACGTTGCGTCAAGTTAGACAGTGCAACATCCCATTTCAGGTAAGAAAGCCTGAGCGGAGGAGCATGCGTGAAATTGACTGCGAGCATGACAATTGCATCTAGCGAATGTAAAACTTGCCGCAAGAGTATTACATACGTGGTTTATAAATTTATAAATTCTTCGCGTTATTGGCGCAATATCGCTCTTTGAGAGTAGTAATAATAATTACGTAGGTAGGTATTTTACACGACCGTGAAAATAGGTTTTCAGGACGTTGCTATTTCGATACGTATATATTTCTTATTTGACATACTTAATGGAAAATATATACCACGTCGATTCTCTGCGGTAATTAAATTTATATTACCGCGCGTTACCTTGTGCGGGATAGCCGTTAAATTCTGAAAGTTAAATAACTTGTTCGAATTTATATTCGAAAGATCTGTAGAAATTTTGCGATATAAAACATCGCTAGACTGGGAGAGATCGAGAGAGATCAAGAAAAAAAAGGATTGTTATGTAAATATTTGACAGACGCGTCAAAAAATTTTGAGTTGTTGCGCAATTCGCGATTAATTGCAAAATGGAAAGTTTTTAGAGTAATCTCTGCTACTGACTGGACGCATCATTACGTCGGTTAAGCGATAATGCAACCAATCATGTTGGACGCTACATGAAAGTGAAAGTCATCGCTTCTTCTTTTCGCGATCCGTCTCAGGAAACGATCGCGCACCCAATAATCAATCTTCTCGAAGCGAGGAGAACTATCTATCGTGATCGGTAGTGATCGGCGAAATTAGTTTCTAGTGACGCAATAAATGTCGAAAATTAATAATCACGTTCTCAAAAATTTTAATTATAAAATTAATAACGTAAATATAATAATATATGAAAAAAAGTAAATTATCATTGATTCTTTATCTTTTCGCGAAAATATTGTTGTAGGTATCGGATGTTAAACAAGCCCTTCGCAATATTTTCTGCGCATGAAAGCGGAAACGTTTGATTCCGCGGTCAGAGATTCATGTCAGACGACAAAAATTTGGGCGCTTTCTACTCGCTGAACAGGTGTCCGTGCGTGCCGGCTCGAATCTTATCGGCTCTCGTAGAAAACTGGGCAGTGGCGAATCGTACGACCCCGTAACCCAGTTGCCGATAGTTACGAAAAATCGTTTCTCGTCGTCTTTAAGCACGCTCGCTTTTCCTCTTTCTTCTGTATCGCTATGCCGCCATCGATCAAGTTGTCGTCTCGAATACGGAATTAAGTTTGGCCCGATTTGTCATAAATCATGCGCGCGCTTTCGCTAAAACCATCAAATTGTCCACTTTCATCCCGACCGAACCCAAAAGCTTGGCATTTTCCTGCGCACATCATATACCTTTGCGAAGAAAATATGCAAAGTCATATCCTTGAGAGACGATTTACGTGCAACGAAAATTCATGTAAGAAAGTTGACTATTACGCAAAATTATGGTTGACTAAGCCTCTAATTCCGTGATTTGCGATTGAATCTATCTGCGGTCAAAATTGTGAAAATAAAAGAAACGACCGCAGCCCACAAATGGCATCTGATGAATGGCTTCTAAAAACTCCATTGAGAGAAATTTATTTCGTTTAGAGTATACTTTTTAGAAACGAGGACGCAGAGGAGTAATCGAGAGAAATATGTACATAACGGCGATTCACACAGTATAGATACTTTATTGGCACTCGCACAGATCCGCGCGAATGGGATTCATCCTACTTACTTTATCTTTCATACAAAGCGAATCGATGGAGCACGTATTAAGTATATGCACGCGATGCACGTACATACATATATATATATATATATATATGTATCGAAGCTTCAAAGTCGAGGAGCTCGTCTTCTGGGGCGTATACCTTCCTCGCGTGAGAAACATGTTTTTTAACGGACGACTGACCCATATAACGTCGCCGAATAAATTTCGCGATGAAGAAGAGAGGAAAAAAAAAGAAAAAATACTCCCATCGTGTGTACCGGTAGATATATGCACGCCAAGACGTTTAAGCTCACACGCGAAAGGATGAGAGAAAGAGATTGTATTGAGCACCTGTTACAGTGGAAGAGGAATACCGTTAGGACGTCGTCGTGTCAGCGGCAGGTACCATGGCCTACGACGGGTGCATGTATCTCAGCTGCCTTCAAAATGACGACGTACGGCCGCGAAAATCAGCCGATCGTCGATTAGCGTCCAGATTTTGGCGGAAGCTAGGCATATCTTGCAAATTTCCGCGGTTTCAATTGATTCGCGAAAAAAACTCGAGTATGTGTGTAAACACCAATTAATCCTTGTATTATAAATGACAGTTGGCAACAAATAATACGCGAAGATAAAAATTTCAATTACTGGAACTTTGCTATTTAAGCGGTTCGAAACGTTAAGAAAAGAATCAATCACGAGGAAAATCACGAATAAAGAAACAGCGGGAAGAGAAATTTTATTTACATGTTCTCTTTTAACCACGCCATTAAAAATTTACTAAATTTTAATGATTATTATAATATTAATATTCAACTAGATATATATATTAAAAACTGTAATTATTTAAGAGTTTAACTAGGCTCTGTAATATATAAATATAAATTTAACATATATAAGATAGGCAATAAGAGCCAAATCGCGGATGACAGTGCGTTATTCTAAACGAAACTAAATTTTTCGTTAGAATTAAATACCTGTGCACAAGGCACCAAATTTTTACTTGGACACGGCCAAGATATAAAATTGGAATATCTCTACAAGAGATTTTTAATTCCATGTATCCCCTATTCCCCTAAAGACTGTCATCCGCGATTTGGCTCTTATTGCCTATCTTATATATGTTAAATTTATATTTATGTAATTATTTAATTTCGATGATTTATTTTGAAATGAAATACCGTGAAATATCGAGAAAGATGCGCGACGCGTGTACGTAAAATCTCCTTCGTATTTAGACTCCGCGTGATTAAAGAAGACGCAACAGATGTCGGATCGCGATGATCATCAACCCGATCACAATCTCTTCACTCCCATCCTATCGTGTGAACGGCGCCTCTCGTTCGATCCTACCAGAAATCCTTACGGTGTAAAACGACATGACATACTTAACTACCTTTGCGAATATATCTTATACTCACGATTCTGCATCATCTTACGTACGTGACGTGGCTGCATTTCGCGCGAAACTATTCCTAACGCTACTTAGATTTCAGACTGAGATTAGCATTATCGATTTATCGTTTTGCGTCGCCATTAATCAATTACGCGGTCATCGATGCCTCATTGCGTATATGGAGATTTAATATCCTCGCGGTATGTGTGCCGTTACGCAGCCTCGAGTTTGTTATCGATATAAATGACGGAATCGATAGATAAGAATCGGATATCTCATTAGCTGCAGACGCAATTTTCTAGATTAATTTGCAGTTTCATAGATTCAACGCGATGATAAATACCACTCATAATAATAATAATTGTCATAATTATGCATTGTCTCGGCACACAGAATCGAAATGCCGAAAGTGCGCGAACGGTCCCGCGAAGTCAGGGACGATCCGATTTAAGTGACTTCAACCCTCGAATCCTTACCTAATACAGTAACGGCACTTTGCCTCTCTATGGCGGATCGTTGCATAAAGGAGTTCTTTTTCCGAATGCGAGGTTTCCACGAGAGGAGGCGGAGGCCGAGACCGCCGCTTCGTGTCGTCGTTGTTTACGGCAACGGATAATGATAGTCATGCTGATGATGATGATGATGATGAGACGCTGTCTTGATGACGGCGACGACCAGCGACGCGGATACACATAAATTCGTGCATGAGTCGACCTCGTGGGAGGCCGTTGTACATATATGTACGTTGCGGAATAAGGTTCCGCATTCTCGGCCCACAGCCCGAGGCACCTATAAGCCTCCTCGTGTCTTTTCGAGCCTCATCTGTGTGCCTCCATCCACCTGCCCTCTCCTCTTAGCCCGCTACCGCTCTTTAAATCTTTCTGACCTCATCAAGATTCCGCGAGAATTACCGTCGACCGATTTTCCACGGGTCAATTGGAAGAGACTTGCCACGCTTCATGAAATTCGCAACCATATCTCGAGATTTACCGACCTATTTCTAATGTCTTTCGTCAAATCTTTCATAAAATATGAATACCAGGTGCAAGATCAAAATTTTATACTTTTTTACGATCGATTTATTTATTATTTTTTTTTTAATAAATGATAAAATTAACACAGTTGACAACACGAATAAAGGGAATATTCATTGTACGTGGAGGAAAATTACGATGAATAATTTATATGTTAATCGATACTTTTGTAGATGACGATTGGGGTGCGCTGAACGAAGAGAATGATTATCTGCCAGAAGTGGAAACAGCTGCGTCGAGTCTGACATTGCCGCGATTGCCGCGAAGCCCCGAAAGACCGTCCAATCAAGCGAACAGAGGAGTTTCGCCGAGCTGCAACAGGAATCGACGAGCGGCGGAGTTTAGACAGCGATCACCGAGTCCTCAATATCAGCCGAGGGTCAATCCCGGCGAAGTGACCAGTCCCAGAGAAAGGTTCCACGATGCTAAGGAAATGTTTAGGGCTATGGAGAGGGAGGCCATCGCCAGACCCGTTTTCTCCAGGCAGAGAGACATCGAGCATCATCCTGTACACAGGTGTGAGAGAGATCCTAGAGAGAAACGGAGAGAAAATATTATTTTTATGAATATTAGTGATATATAATTACCTGTTATAAAATTATGTGATATAAAAATTATGGAACATAAATAGAGAAAAATTTATCCCCTGCGCTGGAAAATAAATTTATTCCGTAATATAATATTTAGTGTATGTCGCGAACACATTTTAATGAGGAAAACATTCAGCGACATTAATCGCGCGGATCGATAAGGAGTAAAAGTCGTAATGTAATATCGTTGTTGTATTATTAATCCAGAGATCTAAACACGACATCGACATGTTGTCGAGCTTTTCGATTTGTACATATACGGTTCTGTTCAGCTTTCCATGGTCGAACAGGTTTTGAGTTGAACGAAGATTTTCACCGATCAAATGCATTCCCCGCAAGAAAGATTTATAGAGGTGCAGATCTCGATACGTTTGTTTTGTAGAAATTGCAGTTAGTATCAATATCCTGCATGTTCACATTCCGCGAAATTTTTCATAGAAAAAATTTCTCTTAAACTCTCATTTCTACATTTTTACATTTATATAAAAAGAAAAATAAATATTCAGAAATATAATCCTTGATTGAAATCAGTTTCTAAATTATTATCGTGAAATAATAGCCTACTTATGTGTTTAGAGTTTTTCTATAAAAATAATTCCTTATTAAATGATTATATTATTAACGGTTTGTTATTTGACAGGGTCGAATCGGCCAGGCAAGTCCACGAGGATCGATCCGGTCGTCAATATTTGACGAGCATGCATTCCATGTCCTCACACGATCATATAATGAGACGAAATCAGTCGGACGCGCTGGATCGTGAAAATAGTGTGTCTTATAAGAGCAGACCACGACCCAGGACTCATCATTACCCGATTGAACGTCCATCTGAACCAGAGACTTCGAGGCCTCGACCGAGGAGCTTCTATGATAATCCGGGCAGGGATTTCAGAGATCAGCGGAATCCTGTCGATCAGAGAGAGGTAAGAGTCGCACGTCTGCGATTTGAAAAATTACATATTTAGCACACACGCTAATCTTCAAATTATAATGTGCCGTGTCTCGCTCGTTAAACAGGTGCGGGAGTTTCAAGAACGTATGCAGCACTCGCGAGAATTGCGTGACAAACTGCGGACGAGAAGCACGACTTACCAGGAGCTGTCGGAGCACGAAAGATACCCTGGACTCGACCGTGAAAGTGCCAGACCGGCGTTGGAGATGATTCCGACACCTGGTAGATATCGTCACAGCTACGCCGAACCACCGAGACTCGGTCTGGCCGCGCTCCATCCCTATTGATTAATTAATTTGTTAATTAATGAATTATTTAATTAACCGATATGTCGCGTTATATTATCATACTGTTCATGTACTGCGCCTTGACTGTTCAGTGTGCTGGTTATAACGATCCTTATCCTGCCCTATAAAATTAGGAAGGAGAAAGGAGATGGAAAATATTATATACTGCAAAATATTTCCAATTATGCAGTTCTCGATACTTGCATGCCAACAGAGAAAATAATTAAAATAATTTTTTAATTAATGTTAATGTCATTCGTCACCGTCGGTCGCTCATGTGATTAAAGCACGTAGAAGCAAATCATTAATGCGAAATAATTTATTATTGGTAAATTAAATACTTACTAACTACTATCTTGATAAAAAAATTTCAGATTTTAAACTTAATTGCAAATATGCATCGATAACGAATTAATCATGCCACTGAACAGTTAATGCAAATTAATAAAGATTGTATATGTATGTAACGAGAGTAAAAGAAGCTTGTATATGTATATCACATTATATCACATTACACTTTTGATGAAGCCAATTATATGATTTTGTGTATCGTTGTATCGAGTACGAACGGAGGATCTCGTTAACAAGATCTTACTTAATAGCAATACAAATGCAATACAATTCTGACATACGTGCTATCTTGTTATACGTCCAGATGCCACACTAACAATATAATAATAACAGTAACAACATAATAATATCGATAATAATATCAATAATAATTATAATAACAAGTTTTCGTATTATTTATTTCCTCCTTCGATCAATCGAAGTTATCGAACATATGGCGGAAGCATATAAATGTGAGAAATAAATTTGCGTTTAAATAAATTTGAAAATAAAAGAGAAATAATTATATAATATGTTTGGACATATATATATATTCTTTCACGACATATCTTATTTACATAATTTAAATATATATGCGTCAAATATTTATTCATGAAAAATTATTGCACAAAAATTCCTTTTCTTACTAATAGAAAGTTGTCAATAAATACATATCTCTTTGCCATAAAAATATATATTACTATATTAACTCTTTCGTTGCAGCACTCAATAAAAAAACAGGATTGCGCAATAGTATCAAATGATGTACCTTTGTTTTAGTATTGAAAATTTCTACATAAGTTGACTTTGCGTTTATTATGTGGTATATACGTGATATATACGATGTTCGCAAGTAAAGAGCGATTTCCCATGATGTAGATGTACGACGTGTTGAAAGATTACTTTTATACTTTTATGACGTAATACGTCGTACAATGAAAGGGTTAATAAGTCAGACGCACATCAAAAATTATAAAAATTCATTTTTTTTGTAGAATATATATATTAGAGAAAAAGATTAAATGTTTTCTCTCATTAAATGTATAAGTTTTTATCCGCTATATTAAGATTATACATTATAATTATTATACGACAAAGCTTCTAGAAAAAGAATGACTCTGTTTAATTTATTCAGCAGCCGTATATTTCCGCAGTAATGTTATATAAAGGAGATATTCAGTTATGACAAAATGAATTCGGAGAATCCTGCACCTCGTGATATTTACACGAGATGTACCTGGTGAAAATCGAATACAAGTATGACGTAAGGATCTCTCCAGGAAGAGGCTGCTCTTAGGCTGCGTTATATATCATTGAACTGTACGCTCCAAATACACTGGATGTATCCAAATGTCCTACATTTTTAACAACAATACAAAACCATATACATGTAAAAAAAATTCAACTGCAATTTTTTCTTTAAAATATATTAAAATTATTAAAATATATTAAAAGTATTAAAATTATAATTGCTTTGAAACTTGCTGTTATATTTTATAATTGGTTTATAATTATATAATATTTATTTTAAGTCTCTCTTTAATCTAAACCTTAAGAAATAAAATATCTCTTAAAAATTTATGCTTAATTGCGCAAATCTACAATAATAAAACTTCTGCACATGTTTAATGTTTTTGTCTCGTTTAATAAACCATAATTGGAAAGATATCAGCAAATAAGAACTCACTTTGATTAAAAATGTATAATTTTTAATCAAATTTAATTACATTTTCTTGGTAAATCGTGTGCACACTTGACATATTTTTGCTTTTTTGTTAATAATTATAAGAATTCAATTCGAAATCTTTTAATAATCTTTGTTATAAGATTGGTCCACATATCTAGTCAATCGTGGAGAGACTTATCATGAAACGGTTAGCGATATAAAATTATTATTTACGTATCGTTGATGCAAAGGAAATGATCAGCATTCTTTACCAGATTACTGCAATATCTCAAATTCTTTTGCGAATAACACAAATAAATAGATAATTTTTAAAGATAATGGAAATGATAACATAAGCCTATGCAGTTAATATCAAGGCATAAAATTATATTTATTAATAGAAATCTCATAAGCTATAAGAGCAAAATTTCTTTTTTGAATTATCTTTAGCACGAAATACAAGTATAGAAATCACAAAAGTGGCTATTACAATAAGTCAAAAAAACACAGTTATAAACGCAATTGAATAATTAATTTTGTTGTTTTTTTATAAACAGATAAATTCTATTTGCTTTCGTCTAATTTTTGATATAAAATATTTTGTCAAAAAATTAAATTAATTATTATATTACAATGGCACAGAGAATGTAATGACAAAATATATAAATATTATTAACTACTTTCGCGATTTGAAAGATTATAAAATGTTATAGACTAATAAGAGTTATTGTTATCACTGATTTAATGACATATAATTATAATGCATCTATTTATTTCCACAATGCAATTTACGTCGATGCTCCTAGAGAGTGTCTAGCAGATATAGCAACGATATATATATATATATATATATATATATATATATATATATATATAGATACACACATAAAAAATGTGCCGACAAAGAAGTATCAGCTAGAGGTGCCCGCGTTAATCTAAACTTTCAGCGTTAAGAGGAGAAATTGTTCTCAAATGCGGTCCGGAACGATTTCGCACAGAAGAAATTGATACATATCGCGGTTTTACAAAGGAAAGCGCAACAAGCGCGTAAGTGTAATTTCGAGAAAGTCTTGCCTCCCGAGACATAATGCTGAACTTATTTTAATATTGGCAATTTATTCGTATATACCGCTCTTTTTCACTCGCATTTTCTGTCATCCGTCACAGACAATTCAATCTACGTAATTTTGAGAAAATTATTCGGGCAGATTCTCTTTCACAATAATAATAATAATAATACTTCCGAGAAGTTTCGCAAACCGTAATCATCCTCGATTGCATAGTTTCGCAAAGGCAAAGCCTAGGAGATTAAGACGCGTGGAATTGTCGCTGTCTCGTTCCTCCCGCGGCTGATGAGGCCTGCAATCGTGCGGAACATTGCTCCATCCTCGAGCAGGGCATATACCGGGTGACCGTTACTGAACAATGGTACTGAGAGCAGAGTGCTCGTGTCGTTCTCCTGTAACGCAATTCGCACGCCGCTTATATAATGTAATTCAGAAATTCGATTACCGTTGCGTTACAGCGCGTCTAAAAGTGGATTCTCACAGAAGCACGTCCGTTTCGTATCTTTCGAATACAAAAGTGAGAGAATTGGAGGAAGGGGTTCGGCGAATATGCAAATAAATTATTTCTAATACATCTGAATGATTTTGTGCGAGACGAAATCGATGTGTTTATCCACGGATATTTGATTCGCGCAAATGGTGCATGTGCATGTCACTATGCGCGTGTAAATGCAGAACGAATAAACAGGCTCCCCTTCTCTCGTAAAGGGATTCAGTGCTTCGAACCTGTCTGCTCGCTTCTCTCGATGGCAGTGACCTGTTATAGGGGTCTCACGGGCCCCAGGGTCTTTATACTCACGCGCACGCGATAGTTTCCTAGTTAAATGCCAGGCATTCTATACTGTGCGCTCTAATCTCATGTATCACTTGATCTTACATTATCCTTTATATTTGCACCGCGAGAAAGTTGCAAAATGTCTCGAGTTTTTCGCTCTATTCGCAATTCATCATGATTTTAATGTTTGATATTGATTTTTTATATTATATTAATTATTTTTCAAAACTATGTATGCTGGAAAAATTTTCTGAATACAAATTTAATAATTAAAAAGAAAGAAATATATAAATCCGTAAACTTTAGTTTTGGCGCACGTAACACATGACTTTGCTTCGTTCACCGACTCACCATTAATAAGCACGATAAGTCCATGTGAGCTATAATGACCTCGTGCCTATCTAAAGACATACGTACGTGACGGAAAAGCGGATGCTACGTGACGGAAGTGCCGTTGCTCCCATTAGACATACAAGAAGGAATTCTTCCAGCTTTTTCTACGTAATTGTCTCGGCAAATATTTACATTTAATCAACCTACACCATTGCTCAATTGAAATTTGTCAACATCATCGAATTTAATAGCATCACTCTTCTAATATTATTATTATTATTACTATTATTATTTTTATTATTATATATATACACACAACTTATATTATTTATATTATTTTTATACAGTTACTTAAATTTTTCTCAATTATATCAAAATCTTAAAATAATTCACAGCTGTATTGCAATATGTTAGAAATGCTATTGTAAAATTGTTGTTGTTAAACTTGTAATATAGAATATTTGCAACATATTTAAAGGGATTCCATCATCCCTTTAGTCAGTAAAAGTGAATTATCCGCGTATTGTAGCAATGGCGCTCGCTCGCGCATCTCCGGAGTTTATTCTCCCGTTATTCTACTCAATCCGGTGACATCAATGCTCGGTCGCGCTATCAACAAGTGGACAACATGAAGGCAATCGACCGTGTGAAATTGATAGTCATAAAAATACTTAAAGCATAACTGTTCATACAAATTGAGGTCTAAGCAGTCTAATATCATAGCATATTTCCTCTCTAATAATCTTTTATACAAGATATTCGACTCTCAATCGTCTAACAAGTGAGTTCACAATGTATGCACGGCAAATAGAAATTTTGCATAGATTTGCAAAGTTTGCGAATTATTACTAATTAATATTGATTTTCAAGCGACTCGTGATTTGTCACGCTTAATCGTTTTTCCTCAACGTTTCACTAAACTTTCTCGCGGTTTAATCACGTCGGCATCGTCATTTACGCATCGCGCAGGTTCCAGGCACGCGGAAAACAATTACACATGTGAAAGAAAGTACCTCGCCTCGACGAGATGGCAGCGGCGACAGCATACAGATATTTGTGTCGGTTCGACAAATACCGGTTGCACATTTTATAGATTTTTACAAGCGCGCGCGAAAGATCATCGTCTCTATTTGCATAAAACTTTCGAATTGTTCGCCTGTCTGTCTGTTAGAAAGCCATTACAGTCCTTGGCATAACGGCATGTTTTCTTGGTCCGGCCACACCATATCGGGTTCAAAGCACTTTGTCAAGATGTGTCGGACTATCCTGCTATCTCAGAATTATCCGCCCCAAAAACAAACTTGATCCATAAACGTTATTAGGCTAATGGTTCCCGGCTTATGGGAAACCTTTAGAAGCCTTTACAAATATTGCATTTTAAAACAAGCGAGTTGTATGTACACCCTCTACAAAGATTGACACAGATAATAAAAAACGTGATATGTTTGTTACCAATATTTTGAAATAGCTTAATATTGAAAAATCATAATTTCATAAAACTAAATTTTTAGAAATTGAAAGAGTTCTTTTTAAGTTTTTTGTTTTGCGCAGAAATCAAAGTTAATTTTTTCATAAAAATCTAAAATTAATTTATAACGTGCTGTTGAATATTTTTTAAAGATTTTCCTATAAATTTTATCTAGAGATTTTTAATACTTTCTATGCAGATGGAATTTTTTATTAAAAACGTTGGGATATTAAAAGTATGCTTTTTTAACTTTTAAACGACAGATTCATCTGTTATATCGTAATAATGAGAATTCATTTATTGTGTCATAATATACAACGGTTTAACATTACACAGAAACAAATAGTATTACAAATCAGTCAACAAACGTTGTCGAACATGTATTCGACATGTCACATGGGAAGGGGATGAGTGACGTACAAAAGAGGAAATTGGAGAGGATTCCTGGACAGAGGTGATTACACTGTACATAGCGTTTGGAGTCTTTGTAATTAACGTGACGATGACCCACTAACCTACTGTACGATCGATTTTCGTTCAACAGTTTTCAGACAAATGCTTTTTTTAATGTATGTAAATTTCTACCTTAAACGTTTCGAAGAATTATTAAGCATTTACATTTTTTATCAAAATGATAGGGTTGCTAGGATATTTATCCTAATTTAGGAGCAGCTGTGATTTATGCAGATCGCATATTCTAATTATGAGTACCAGTCGTCCTTCGAAGCATGTTGAAGGTTTGACGCGAAGATCGACATTCCTGAATCCCGAAATAAATATTTGAAAATTCTGCGTAGAACCAACTATTTACATACTGATCACCCAATTCGGAACTAATTCGAATGTTTTCAAAGAACCATGACAGATATTTAATAATCTTTATTTCTAATTTTTTTTTAATATAAAATAAAGTGCGTCATTTCTCGTTTGAGAGATATAAGGAAAATAAAATATATCCAAATCCAAAGAATATTTATATCCAAAACAATCCCAATAATATAATAAAGATATATAATAAAGATAAACAGTTTTCGTAAATTGATTAAAAATACACATTTCTCTCAAATTCTTTTACACAATATACAATATTAATTCCCGAAATTTTTGTTCCATATTTAAATTATCGAAGATCTTTTGATCCCCGAAACTAGATGTCAAAAGAAAATGCAAAGCAGGAAAGCTTTATTTTTCTCGGATTTCAAGCTTGCATCTTTATAGCGTCATAAAATTGTGATACAGTTATATGCAACAGTACTCAAGCTAATTCGTACGTTTCATGTCGAACGGAAATGACTCCGTCGTATTCGCCCTGCTTCTAAATATGTCAGCTGTGCGAAAAGATCCCAGAAGAATTCCCACTGAAAAATGTTGACATTGGGCCACGGTCAGGGTTCCGGTCACGCGACCCTGATTTCGCGTCTCCACGGATTTCACGCTCGCGACACGAACTCACTACCGGATTTTCTCGTCTTCCTGTCGAGGTTCCGCAGCTAAGTGCTGGAATGGAAAACTTCGACGTCGTCGTCGTTTCATTTCTGTACAGTGAAAACAACTAACTATGCGGAAAATATATCGCTCCTACAAAGTAACAATTTATATTGATATAAAAAAGGAAGAAAATGACATGTAGTATCAAGTATTGAAGTGAAATCTGATTTTTTCCGAATAAGAAATTATGTAACATGCAATTGAGAAAAAGAAAAGAGAAGAAAATTAAACTTTACGTTTAATTTTAATTATTTTGCGGAAATTTCTAAATCAAATATAACATAACAAAAGAATTACTCCTATTCGCAAAAATATTTTGTAGCTAAAAATGATCGTCGGTTCATAAAAGAAGATAAGTATGTGCAGAACTAATTACGGTAAAGCCGGATATCTAAATATAGATAGGAGATAAGGATAATCCGTTAAGAATATTCTTCCACTTGTTATTCGTTTGGTCTGGTGGACGTCTCAATTTATATTGTTGCGCAATAAATTCGTGATTTCACCTTCGTGGCCATGTTCTGCTTCGTCGATATGAAGAGCGACCTGGAGACCTCGAATTCTTCTTGTCAAAAGAAATCATCCGCTTCCCGTGCTCTGGCGACTCGTGTGTGAAAAAACGTGCGCCGGAGCTCTCCTTCACGGTACCTACGGTCAGCAATCTCTGACCTATAAAGGGCAACATATATGCGGCTTACAAACCACACGCCGCAAAGTGCTCGACTCCGCAGACACTTCTGATAAGCGATAAATGTTGAAAGATATTATCTACGTACGCAACAACGCACTATTATTTTTTCTTTCTTAGTAGAGACATATTGTATTAATTAAATTATAATTTTACTTCTTAACATTCGTAATTATAACGTTAATTTAACTGCAAGATGTTATAACATTAACAACCTTGAAGGCTCAACTCTTTCGTTACATTTGGATGCGTACGAGATTTCTGCAAGTCAAAATATTCTCTTAAAAAAGAAATAACACGTACATTGGAGGAAAGAGGAAGCGTCATTAACGTGCCTACGTAAAATCGAATCAAAGAATGTCCATTTTTCTCAGCACAATTTCCGTTATCCTGCGAATGACAACGTGTTCGCTGTCGAGAAGGTAAATACGACACCATCGGAGCTCAGACCCAGAGAGCGACCCAACGATGAAAAGTCCGATGGAAGAGAGTGGGATCTCGGAGTAAAATGGAGTGGGTTTAGTGTTCAGTCACGAAGTCTCACGCCTTCCACCAGTTCTCAGTTTAAAGACGAACGTACTGGCGGGTAGTGCTTCGCTCGAGATCACTCGTGCGTGTGTGCGTGAGGGTGTGTGTGTATGCGCGCGCGTGCGCGCGAGCGTAAAGTGGTGAACATACAACCCTCAACAGCAATGTGTCAATCTTTGAGGTCGCGTTTGGATCTTTCTTTTCAAGCCATTAGTCCTTTTGTTGCTCGCGAGACGTCAGTCGCTCGGAAATCTCGAGTCGATAGTCGAACGAGAGTAGCTTCCGCCATTTTCACCGATTCCATTCCGCGAGGAGAACCCTGATGAGGCCCACCGGTCCTGGTACAGCGGTTCGCGCGGCTGACGCCTATGGCCGCGCCTCTGGATTCCACAACGCCAACACAGGATCCGCGGTGATAGACGTTAAAATCCTCGCCGTTGGCATCATTCGGCTATTTTCTCCGTTCTAAAAGTGTTCGCGTCAATCTAGCCGCGCGAGTGTATACATGTGCCAGGTGGCGTGTATGACAGCAGGTACACGTGGAGGTGCGTTGGTGAGGGACTTGCGACGCCACTGCGCATACCAGTGAGGCCCCGGCTTCGGTAGCGAGGAGAGGGATAGGAAAGCCTAGAGCGAACTGAAAGGAAGCGACAGAGACGAAGAACAGGGAAGGGAGACGTGTAGAAGGTAGAGGGACAAAAGGAAAGAAAGCAAAGGAGAGACGGAAAGGTAGAGAAGAAGAGAAGAGAGAGAGAGAGAGAGAGAGAGAGAGAGAGAGAGCAAACGAGGTCTGATACTGGTAGGAGGACTCACAAGAAGGCGGCCATAATGGCTTGACGCGATCTCGAGCGAGCGGCTACAGCTGCTGCGAAATATCCGCGCCGCCGAGTTCCTCTCGCTGTTGCTGCGCGCAACATATTTTGCAACATCGTACTGCAAACACATCGTATATGCGATCTCCGTCTGCCATTGGAAAGCAGCGGATTACTACGTAATCGGCTGCGGGTAGTGTTAACCGGGCGGAGTCTCATGTTGTTCGCTGCCGTGAGCGTGTCGCATGTCTCGCGTACACTCAATAGGCTTCTGAGTCACGTCCGCGACTCGGCAACGCGCGTGAGAAGGAATTTGCCGGTTGGTAATTAACGTTCAGGAAGAATTCGTATCCTCGGATGTCGTTGCCGCCATTGGGAAGATCGATGCTTATCGTGGGACCAACGTATCTTGCATTGAAATCTCCAAAGTTTTCTCTATTCAAGACAGTTCTACACCATCGAGTGTCGCTTCTGTATAACAGACGCATCTGAGCTGTATAAAATAATTTGTTGAAAAAACTCGAAGCGGCTAACCTTTTGGAATTTCATATGCCAGAGTCAATAGAATTTATTAAAATATACATGTACGCAATTTGTAAACAAACGAATTATTAATAGATTTTAATCGCGATCTTTGTATCGCCAAATTGAGCTTTAAATTAAATCAAATCTATATTAATTACAAGTCTAAAGATGAGGGGAGCTAATCAAGATACAGCGACGCCGTATTGTCGGTGCAGAGTGCTCTACCTAGGTAGCTCGGTACCTCACGCGAGCAAAGAGGGGCTGCTGGGTGTTCAGGAACCTTTGAGAGAACTCTCCCGAGCAGGGTGCTCTAGGTGCACGCGGAATCGATTCCTGGTTAAGCGTTTGGAGCAACGGCTTACTCTTGGAAAACGTCGACGAACATCGCAAGAAGGTCACGCGGTTCTTCCCCATCGAGGCGCTTCACTATTGCGCCGCGGTCAGACATGTCAAAGGTGGAAACGGTGATTCGTCCAACACGCGATTCCTGCCGTTGGACTCGCCGTTTGCACGAACACCCAGCGCCAATCATCCGCCCTTATTCGCCGCCGTATTGCGAAGAACGACCGGTATCAAGGTTCTGGAATGTCACGCGTTCATCTGCAAGCGAGACATGGCGGCCAACGCCCTGGTAAGGTGTTGCTTTCACGCTTACGCCGACAGCAGTTACGCGAAGGGTCTGGAACCATCATCGGCAGCGACCAACGGAGTCACCACGGCTCACCAACAATCCAACAACAGTCTATATCACACTCTAGGCGGCTCCAGCCGCACCACTCTAGACAGTCCTCAAGCACCCGGTTGGATACACGTCGAACGACGACCTCAGTCTGTATAACGGCGACGAGAACACAAAGTCTGGGCGAGGGGTCGCGACGAAGTCGATACTCTTTATCAGGAACAAGGTACCCTGCGAAGCACCAAGGGATCCAGACCACGTCAATTGATCGCCCCACCGCCGCCGCCGCCACCGCCGCCTCCTCCCGCTCAACCATTAATGCTGGAGGAATCTTCCTCTTCCTCCGCTCGACGAAAGCTAACAAAAGCTGAAGAAGATGAAGACTCGTTCGTTGCACGAGGAAGCGTTGCAACAGCATCAGCAGCAACAGCAATTTCTCCATCATCAGCTCCACCAAGGCGTATATGCCAACGGTCACGGACATCACACTCTGGGTCATCCCATCAGGCAACAACACTACCACCCTCACCCTCTACCACCCAGTAGTCGATCCGTCGCCGGTACCCTAGCTAGCCCAACCCCGGTGCTCTTGGTACCAGCAGCGACTTGCCGCGCAAGAGTCATCATCATGCGCGTTTAAGACCGATTCCAGCTGCGACACCAATAGTACCGGTCTACGCACCTTTACCGTTGGTACCACCGTCCGCAGCACCGACGGCGGCCATTTATCCGGCAGGCACTTATGGCACCGCCGGAAACAGAGGCAGAAGACACCCGGAGGCGGATAATTCGACCTTAAGCACGTCCAGAAGATTAGCTGCCTCTCACGCCGATCTTACCGCGCCGGAAGTCGCCCGGCAGGCGGACAGTCCGGAGACGAGTCTCGCTTTTGGTACCGGCATATATCGGCGAAGGGTCATCTGAACGAGAAGCGCCTTTTCTTCGCATCCGTGCCGAACCCGGAGCAGGAGTCA